TCACTCGCCAAAAGCTTTTACAGCTTGAATGGGATACAATGCTACACCCACCATATTCTCCAGACCTGGCACCATCGGATTATTATTTGTTCCGGTCACTCCAAAATTTTTTAGACGGTAAAACCTTCACCTCAAATGAGGAGGTCAAAAACCTCCTCGATCAGTTTTTTGCCAGCAAAGACCAAAAATTTTATGAGCGTGGAATTATGCTACTACCAGAAAGATGGCAAAAGGTGTTGGACCAGAACGGTCAATATATAATTTAATAAAGTATTTGTTTATTATACGAAAACTGTCTTTCATTTCCACAAAAAAAAACGAAATGACTTTCCAAACAACCCTATACTTTTAAACTTAAGGATTAATTTTTTGTGTTTGCTATTTTCGTATATTATAGGTACCTATTTTACACAATTATTTACTTTCTGACTTATTTCGCTCGTACTTTTCTATCTTTCCGTTGCTTCAAGACCAAATACTTTTTACAAATTTTGTTAATTTCCTGTTGGCATTCAGTTAAGCTCGTTGACGTATCTCTAACCTGGTTCCTCAGGTCCTCGTTTTCAGAATGGCATTTATTTATTTCCTTCCCTTTCGTGTCCAAGACTTTCAACAGACCTTCGTAGTTAGCCAAAAGTTCTTCGTATCTGTAATAGAATCGATTTAAGGCTTACATTAGTCAGCAAAATATAATTTTCGGCATCAACTACGTTTACTTATATTGCAAATTCACCATGCTAACCGTCGAATAAGAACAATCCATGTTCGAACGGGACGTTGTTCTTGACGACGTTTGGTCGCCATATCTCTGCTGTAAAACGTCTATAACAAAAATGTTCCGTATAATATACGATAATATATACCCTTTTTCTGGATAAATTGATACTTATTTAAATAATATAAAAACCTAAGTCACGTATGTTGCAAGTGCACATGTGCTTTTTGTAAAACGTCAAATAAAGGAAGACCTTACTTAACAGAAACATCAGAAATAAAAAAAATAATAATAGACTAACGATAAGTAACATTAACCCGCCAAGGAAAGTTATGGTTTCCGTAAGTTTTTCTCTATTTTTATTGATTTTTCTAGGCAATGTCCTTGTTTTTCATTCAATTCTCAACTATGTTCGTGACTCCATAACTTTATCTTCCCCTGCAGTATTAAATAAACCAAATTTTATTGAAGTTTTGGTAGGTATTTTGTAAGAGTTAATTTAATTTGATTAATCCTACTGTAGTAATTAATTTGTCTAAATTAAGTACATATTGCACAATCGCTAGAGAGTATAAATAATCATCAACGTCATCATCGTCATCATAGGGTCATCAGTCCTAAAACTGTTTGGACACGCACTTTTACTCTTGTATCCTGAGGTAATTTTCGCATTTCCCTAAAACTAGAACATCCTATATCCCCAACTATTTGTGAAAACTAATCTAATGTAGTAATATCTGGATTAATTACTTTGACGATAACATTAGGTATAATTTAAATTAACGCTGGTAACATAAACATGGTGGCTTTACAGATTTTTACAAATCGAATTCGGTGACGTTTCCAGGTTTTCCAGAAATATGATTAAAAAATTTCTTGACTAGGACGAGTTAGATAGTTAGATAGTTAGAGATAGTAATAAGGTTATTACTACTTTTGGTGCGTTGAAAGTAAAGTTTTAGAATGCAACGGATGTTGCGCGCGCACAACCAACGAAACTTCGACAGTATGAAGTTTGCAGTGTGGCTGCAAGATAGCAAGGAGTTAGAGATAATATAAAAACATGAAGAATTAGATTTTCGATATTTAAAAAGTTAGATGGAGAGTACGGCTCTGTGTGGGTGGGCACTACGGAAATGAAGAAGTTAGAAACAGGATGCTAAAAAGAAAAAGATCCCTGGAAGAGGGGAACTTTCACCCATTTTAAATCATTTCCAAGAATGAATAGTTGAATTTTCAAAAAATTTTACTGAAAACGTTATCTACACGTTCCATTATACTTACTCATTAGTTGTTTATTTTCCTTTTTGGCATCTTCTAACTGAGAAGACAATATCTGATTTTTCATACTATCAGTTTGTATTTTTAGAAATATTTTTTTATCATTTTGATTTGCCTCCAGTATGTTGTCTTCTAATTCCTTTACAAGACTCGTTACAGCTTTGATTTTAGATTTTAGTATTTGAGAGTCATAGTCCTGCAAGTAACAATTACTAAACTGCCTAAAATTCGTAATGTTACGACATAATATACTGTCATACATTGTTATTACTACATTTAGAATGTGCAGTTGTGATATTGCAAAACTTCACCGTTTCCTTTTTGTTACGGTTTTCCAAATCTTCCGTTTTACGGTTGGAAAGATCGGTACCCTCTGCATTCTTCTCCTTTTGGTTTTCCCCGAGCATTTAGAACAAGGAACATTTGAAACTTCGCATCCAATTGGAGAATTTGTTTTCTTGAAGGTTATACGTTTGACAAACTACATTCGTAATAGATGTTGAAAATGTCACGTAATTCATTAAATGCTTTAAGCAATCTTCGATTTAATAGTAATAGTATAAAATAATAATTTGATTAATGGCGATTTATTTCGAGGGATAAATCTAACGACACTCCACTATGGAGATTGCAAAAGAAAACGGTACATCTACATAATTTATTTATGTTGAAACAAATCGAATCGAACCCTATAATTACCTACCGTCCACCTACAGAAATTACCTCGTAAATGAAATACACGCAACNAATTTTAATTTTTAAAAAATCACACCGACGTATCGCGTTGTTACAAGGAAATTGGGTTTACATAGTAGAAAAGAGATATACCCCAGGGGAAACGTTGGTGCGGTGTTTTAATAATTGAAAAAAGAATTTTAACCCTTCTTGACTTTGATTTTTACACATTTAATGAATACTTAACACAATAAAATATAGTTTTTATAACATGGAAATCGAGTTAAAAACAAAAGAACCAAACCAATCACTAGGAAGGCCTTTAAACTCAATTTACTATACCTAGTATTAATTCAAGTATTGAATTTTTCTATGTTTGTTTCAGATACCTAAAATAAAGTCAATCTTCATCTGTGATACTATCATTTTACATCATACCTACTTATTGTAATTTTAGTTTTCGCTTATATAAAGAATATGAAATATATATATTTAGTATTCATTCTGTTATTCTTATTTTGCTCTTATTTCTCATAAAAACAGGCTAGTTAATTAACAATACAATTACAATTGCGATTGTGTAATTACAACCTTATATTACAAAAACTACAATCACAATTTCAGGTTAGAACCTACAAATACCATTTGTTGTATTAATAAACTGTCTTAAAATTTCGGTGCTATTAGAAAGATTTTCATAAATGTACACGTACCTACTTCAAAAAGGAAATATGACAATTAACGGAAGTTAATCTAAAGCAATTGTTTCATTTATTGTGATTTCATTTGAGCATGAAACTTTTAAAAAAAGAAAGTTCTAAAGAATACATAAATTGTGTTTCTGAGAGCTTCATTATATCATTTTCAGCTACCTGGTTACCTATGTAGATCAATTTGTAAACACTTTGCGAAAATTTTTGAAATTTATGAAAAATAATCTAGAAAATTCTATGTTCAAAGACAAAGTCATCACCTTCAAAACTTCATAATAACGTAGGTACCTATACCAGAACACACATTCGTTGTAGGTATTCTACCAGCTATGACTAATCACTTTTGCTATTAATAGATTACAACAATATAAAATGGTATTCATAATCCATAAATCAAATGAAATCAATGGGAAAATTGAAAATTGTTACCTCTGGACCGCCTGCAGATTTCCAACCTAAAAAAAAGGAGAAAAAACAATTAGTAACTGTACAAACAAAATTTTTTACTATAAAACAATGTGTTTTTAAGCAATACATAGCATCATCTACAAAAAATGCTTACAGAAATGCTCCCGACATTTTGAAAATTTCCGTTGAAGTAACCACCCACATAATTTTCTACTCACAGAAACTTTCGCGCACCCTAAACTTACACCTTAATAAAAACACTATACAGTAATTACATTATGCAATTAAAATTAACATTTTGCACCCGAAAATAACTAATAAGTATTTCATTATCAGCACTACCGGCATTCGTCCAACCGTCAGAACCACGCGTAAGTACTACACTGAAAACTGCAATTCGCATCATCGCAAACTAACGCGTAGGAATCGGTGGAATCTACGCATATAACGTTTTTAAATTTGAATTAGTTATGTCACTGGCTCTGACCTGGACAAAATGTAGTACCTTTAAAATAAATAAAAATTAATTTGCATATTATCTATAAAATAATTTTTAATAAACTGCTAAAATTTAAACTATTGTAGCAGACATTTGTGTCCTAAAAATAGTTTTAATTATAAAACAATTTCCTGTCAACAGGTAGGTACATAAACTATTTAAAAATTTGTTTTTAAGATATGCTTTATTGATTCTTCCCGAATGTGTGCTTTTTTTATCTCTTATTTAATACGTAAATATTAAAAAGGTAAATAAATAAGATCGGTGTTAGTGACCTAGTGGGCTCCACTAAGTTTTTTTATTTTTAATGGGAATCGTTTGAATGATGCTTAATGTAGATTTATTTCGGTTAAATAATAACGTATAATATGTATTATACAACTGATATTGCAATTGTTTTATGCATTATAATCATTATTAACCAAGCAAGTGATATCTCGTAAAAAAAGGTGTTGAAGACATTGGAAAGTTTAAACTTATGCATTTTGAAGCAGCCAAAAAAAGATAATCGCAGGTATGATGGATAATACATTTTCTTCAAATTTTTAATTTACTTTGCGTTTTATTTATATACCTTATTGATAAGATTACCTGTTATTAATAGGAATAGGAAACACATTTTTATTTCGTATTCCCGAAAATTCAAATTAATACTCATACCTATACATCATTAAAAAACTTTCATAAAAATGAATTTATATTCTGTGACAGATCTTGGACATTCGGTGCTCGATGTGCATGTGTCTTTGGTGACTCTTTTCAAAACAAAAGACAAACTATAAAATTCGTCAAATTTTACAAAAAGTGTCACTGGCGCGGAGACACATGGATATGTAAAGAGCGAAATTTCGAAAACTGGTTAGAAAAGATCCGAAATTACGAATCATTTTCTTCGATTACGTAAAAACCCTTTTCGTCAAAAACATATCACCTTACAACACCTTTCCGGGCCTTTATATCACACAAACTAAAATTGGATTGAATTGCTGTAAAAAGCAAAATTTTCGGCATTCATATTTGAAAATTGGTTAATATGTTACCGGAAATATGAATCATTTTCTTCACTTTCGTGAAAACACATTTTCGTCGAAACACATGTAAACTTACAACACTTTGTCGCACCTTTATATCAAACAAATTTGAATTGGGTTTAACTACTGTAAAAAGCCAAAATTCCAAATTCAAAGATGGATAAAAAGGAGCTAAAGTTATGAATAATTTTCTTTGACTTAGCAAAACACATATCACTTCACTACACCTTACATATATCCTACAAATTAAAATTGAACCACTGTAAAGAGCGAAATTTTACGCTTTCGCCGAATTTGAAAATTAGTTAGTCTAAAATATCAATAATTTTCTTCGATTTAGCGAAAACGTATTTTCGTCAAAACGCATGTCAACTTACTGCACTTTGCCACACTTTTACATCAAACAAATTTAAATTGAATTGAATCATTGTAAAAAGTAAAAATTTGTAAATTGACAAATGGTTAAAAAAGATCTGAAATTAGGAATAATTTTCTTTGACTTGTTAGCAAGAACGAATTTTCGTCAAAACACATATGTCACTTTATACCCTACAAGTTAGAGCAAAATTTGGACGTCCAAATTTGAAAATTGGTTAGCCGAAAATATGAATCAATTTCTTCTTCTGTTGATGCTCATTTTGGTCAAAATACAACATACAAATTAAAATTGGTTTGAACCCAGTGACGAATTTTGGACATTCGCAGCCTCGTGTGTAACTTTTTTCATAAAAAATCAAATTCAAACTATATAATTCCTAAATGGTAATTTTACAATATACAGGGCAATCTGTGTAACCCGAGATAGAATGGCAAGTAATTATAAAGGTCATTTATTAACAACGCTAATTAAAAAGTCATTCATCTTTCTCCAAAATACCACGTAATTCATCAGAATTGCTTGAATACCTCGATTCTTTCGTTTTCCTTTTTAACTTGTTCCTTAAATAATTCACTTCTTGTCGAAGTAAAAGATTTTCGTGTTGAAAATTGTTTGAGCGTCGAATCTAGAAGAAACATTCAATTCTCATAATTAAACATTTGTATATATCTATGATTAACTGAGAAGTATTTATAGATTTTAATTTTAAAATTATTTTAATGATATAACGAGAAATTGGTTCTAGTAAGTACCTCGTTTAAAAGCAGCGCTTTTTCAGGATTTTTAGTTTTTCTTAACTCTTCCTCATACTCCTTGTCTTGTTCCAAACTGAATTTGTTAAGCATTTCGACCAAATTATCATGAGCTAATCGCAATGCCTTGCACTCCTCTTTCAATTCGTTTATCTAATTAATTTAATACCAAAATTAACGATTTTAAATAAATCAAAACTAAATACAGTGTAAACTCTTTATAACGTCACTCGATTTAACGACAAACTCCTTAAAACGTCGAAATTGTTTGACTTTGGTTGGTTTACGTTGTTTTCTATACAATATTACACTCTATATAGCGTCACGCTCACTCTGTTTAACGACAACAATGCGGCATTATAAATCATTAAGCAGTACTTTCTAAGTTGCCGAAATAGATAAGAACTGCAGCTGTGTACGTTGTTGAAGAAGACGATCCTGTCCCTCCACCAAGCATCAAACAAGCACTTGATGCAG